TGACATTTCTCTCCTTTTTCCCCCTTCTCCAATAAAATAAAACATTTGTAACAGATCCTTGAAAGTGTGTGCGTTGTGCAATTCAGGTTTGAAAGGACGAGCTCGCCTATTGTCAACATGCTTTACAATTTTGCAGCCGAGTAGAGTGTGATCCTTTTCAAAAGCCAGAAGCTCAAAAAGGTTATTTTCCCGGGTTAGGATTCATTTCCATTCAGAATTAGGCTTTTTTGAGGGCTTGTTTTTTTGACAGAAAAAGAACGTAAGATATTTCATATTTAAAACTGCACAAACTAGATTTCAGTTCTTGCTGCTAGTTTTTGTCCTTCAGTTTCTGCACATGTAAAGATTTCTCCAAGGGAAAAATCAGCTTAGCTTCAATCATATTAAAGTGTTAGAGGAGTTTATCTCAGTTTTGGCAACTTTAAGGCGCGTGGACTTCAATTCCCAGTATTTCCCAGAGAGCTGCGCTGGCTGGGGAATTTTAGGAGTTGAAGTCCATTCATCTTACTTGACAAGGTATTAGACATGTTTGCTGCCTTGAGTTACTTAAAAAATTAATAAAGGTGGACTGTTAATTAAATACATGAGTACTTCTCCAAATGAACTGGGATTAGCCGACCATCAATCAGGTAAGCAAGGTTACCACTGATCACAGTTGACTCCCCATTGCAACTACTGTGTCTTGACCTGACTCAATTCAGTGGAACCCATTGCACCCCAAAAGGGAGACAAGGCAATGTGGATAGAGAAATAAAGCAAAGCTATGAGACTTGGCCCAACCAATATGGGTATTTAAGCCAGACCTTTAAAAAGAGGCCACTGCTTTCAAACCATGAGAAACAGAAACATGTTTTTAATGAAAGACAAAACTCAGCAAAGAAGGCAAAGGCCATAAGCACCAACTGCTGTTTTGCTATTCTTCCTGGGGATATTTTGCAGGGTGTCAGCTTAGTCTCCAATCACCTGTCTAATCTGTGTATCTCCAGCTCATCCTTGAACCTAAGGAAAAACTCGTTTCACTTTTCCATCAAAATGATTTTAACTTGACACTTGCCTCCATTGTTCTCAGCCTCCTAAATGGGGGGGGCGGGAGACATAACGGAAGGCGGAAAGAGTTGTCTGACTGCTTCCAAGGCACCAGACAGTGAAGCCAATCTAAAAAAGAGGGGAAAGTCTTCCTGAGCGCTTCCTCTGGACCGCTTTCCTCAAAACTACAGCCCGACGTTCCTGCTGCAGCCAATAAAGCATCTCCACTGTGTCCCTCTCCATTTTGTCTTGGTACGGGCGACCCTTGAAAGTCACTATATCATTGAAGGCATCGTTGATATGTTTCAGAATCAAACGGAGTTCGAAGTTGTACTGGTCCAACTCGGACTGCAATTGGCTTCTCAGGTTTGACTCTTGCCTTCTGGTGGCAAATGCGCCAAGCTCCTTGCTGAACAAGCGGTTGGGGTCCGAAGCAGTCTGCTCAAACTCTTCTATTTCAGCCAGCAGGAGCTCCCTATCCTGGATAAACTGGGCAGCAACTTCCCAAGAATTCAGCATGTCTGGAAGCAGTAAGTAATACTGGTTGGAGCTGTACTTAATGGCCATATCTAGCCTTTCCCGTTCAGAGAAATGAAGGACAGTCCATAGTCTTTCCAACCTCCTCTGTAGGACATTGAACTCTTCAAACCCGTCACTAGTAGAACTTCCCAGGTCCTCCAACCGGGTGCTGCTGACATTCCACAATCCGGTGCGAAACAATTTCTGAGACTGAAGCTCTGCAGCTTTGAGCTGTTTCCTCTTCACTTTCTGCTTCTTCACTTCATCCTCGTTTAACACAGCCTGCATGTCTCTCTCCTTCCCTTCTTTACTGTCTTCTTCAGGGTTGTACAAATGAAATATGACCGGCAGATAGTCAGCGGTGTTGTTGCTGATGTATTTCAAGTAATCATCGATGTTAAATGTGGCTTTCCACCATTTGAGCCAAGATGCGTATTCTTTTGAAGCCAGCTTCTTCTTGGTTAGATTTGGGGATTGGGGTGCCTCAACCATTTCCTCTGGGACAAACGGCCCATCTGGGAGGATTTGACTCAGCTCTGTATTAATGATCTGCTCACTTTTTCTCTTTGTCAGTGTTGAGGAAGCAAAGCAGGAGTCGTGAGGCAGGTTTGTGGCAGGACATTCTATCAAGGATCCTTGGTCGAACTTCAGGTGCTCTTTAGGAATCGTATTCATCAGTTCCTTGTAGATCTCCTTGACTTCTTCTCCTGTAGAAAGGTTTGCGTCCAGTATCTTCATGGTAGCAGGGGTTATCTCTCCCAGGAGGTGGTTGTAGATTGGTAAAGACCTATCCATCGTCACATTTTCCAAATAGTGTCTTTCAGACACCTGGAGATCAGCTGTCTTCACCACCATCCTATCGTGGATTCTGACATTCACTGTCGCTGCCTGAGGATGCGAGGCTGGGGCGGCGATGATGGTGTTTCTCCGCTTCGTCTCAAAACACTCTTCCTCGTGCAGGGACTTGAGCATTCTCTGCAACTGCAGCTGGCGATTCTCGTTGGCTTTGCTCCATGTCAACGCTCTAATGAGCGGAGGGAGATCTAAATCGTCTTGCTCGCCTTTCCACTCAGTGTTCTCCAAGTGGGAGCCCCGGACCAGCCTCTGAAGGTCTTCGGCTAGGGCTGCTGGACCCCTCAGTTCGCCTACTTCGGGGGATTCAGGGCAGCGACAAAGCAGATCGGGGCTGATCCGGCGAGGGATCAAATGGATGCCAAGTTCATCAGCTAAAAGCTTCCCTACTCTCATATTAGGCAGAGACTGGCACTTGAGAAGGACAGAAGTGGCTGGGAGAATCTGAGGCCTAGACCAGTTGCGTGAACCCACACGAGGACAAGGTGGTGTGATGGCAACGCAGGCCATTTGCTGCAGGAAATTGGCTTTCCTGGCCGTGGGTAGATTCAACTTCTTTATTTTGCTCATGTCCAGCAAGGGTAACTCCTCCAGCTCTTTCAAATCCTGGGCTACTTTTTCTTTCTCCGTCAGCATATGGGGCCGGATGTAACTGATGAAGTAAGAGATGGTGATGCCCAGGCGGTTGCCCAAGGAATGGGTGGTCATGGGGCCAAAAGGGCTGGAGGGTTTGGTCGGCGAATCGGTCGGGCGGTCCACCTGCCTCTTCATCTCCCACACCAGGCGCTGGCGCACGGCCACCACGTTGAGGAACTTGGAGCAATCCAGAGCCAGCTGGGCCGAGAAGCGGATGAGGTTGGCACAATCAGTGAAGATGTGCCGCAGCCGGCAGCACTCCATGAGGCCCAAATAGTGGCGGAAGAGATGCTGGCACACCAGGCCGAGGTAGGTCAAGAGATGCTGGTACAGCTCCCGGTTGGTGTCGGGGCTGAAGGCCGGGTCGTGCAGCAGGTGCTGGAGGTCCTTGTGGGCGTGCTTGACCTCGGTCAGGATGATATTCTGGAAGGTCCGCAGGTGCTGAGGGTGGGCGTTGGCCTCCTGAGGGCCCGGCTTCAAGCGGGCCTTCACCAGCTGCATCAGGGCCGAGAGCGAGATGGGCACCGGCAGCTCCTCCTCCTCTGGCGGGCCCAGAGAAGGGCCGGACAGGGAAGGCTTGAGTCGAGAAAAAGTGGTGGGGAAGAGCGAGAGCGGCGTCAGGATGCGCTTATACTGCTCGCGCAGCTGGTGCATCCACTTCCCCGTGTCCTCCAGCGGGTACAGCGACCGCCTGGGAGGCGACACTCTGGACGCCATGGCTGGCTTTCGGCGTCGCCTTGACAACCGAGTGGTCCAGCGCCCAAAACCGTCCGTGCGGAACGTTAAAACCGTTGCGCCCAAGTTCCGCTCGCGATTTCCATTGCGCATGTCCGCCTCTTACAACCAAGCCGGTGAGCGCGGCAGGGCTTTCCGGTTAGCGCAAAGGTGTGTCACCTTTAAAGCGGTCCGGGTAGGCCATTTTTTTTTCTCGTTTTTATTCTCGAAGACAAGATGGACGGAGCTCCGGAAAGGGGCGGAGGCCTCCGCTGCACGGTGGGGGAACCTTCCCCGGTGGGAGAATCGACGGCTGCTGCCTTTTTCCTTCCCTTCCTGATAGTTTGCGCATGTCTGAAGAGGTTGAGAGTGGGGAGGGGGGCGTTTTGAAAAGCAGGAGCAAAGGAGGTGCAGCTACACCGGTTGAACTACTTGCTGGGTCACTCTTGGAAATGGCACCTTCTCCATGGGGTGGAGGGGCGGTAATCTTAGATCTGGTTGTGGGAAGCAGTACAGGTCGTCTTCTACTTAGAACCGTTCGTTTAGTGGCTGTTCAAAGTTACACTGAAAAAAGGTGACTTATGGCCGTTTTTCACACTTAACGACCGTTATAGCATCGCCCTCTGATCAAAATCCAGACACTTGGCTACTGACTCGCATTTATGACGGTCGCGGGGTCGTGTGACCCCCTTTTGTGACCTTCTCACAAGCAAAGTCCATGGGGAAGTCAGATTCACTTCACAACCTCGTTTCTAATTTTAACAACGGCAAGGGATTCACTTAATGACTGTGGCAAGGGAGGTTGCAAAATAGGGCAATACTTCACTTAACAAATATCTTCCTTGGCCACAGACGTTTTTTGTGTGTGTGTGGTCAATTCTGGCCATAAGTCAAGGACTACCTGTATGTGGCAGGCAGAATTATGGCCCAGAATGGGCAAATGAGAAAAGGCCCCTGCTCTTCCAGATTTCCCAAAGAACTTCATTTTAGATCAGAATTTTGAAATTGGGTCAGTATTTTTCAACTTTGGCAGCTTCAAGCTGTGCAGGCTTCCAACTCCCAGGTTCCACTATATAGGTCAGGCGAGCCCATATTCGAAGGCTTTTTTATATTTTTCACTGACAGTTTTGTGTTACTTTCTCCTCTTATTGTAGCTGGAATTTGCTGTTGAGATGACTTGTCAAAAGTGTGTAGAGGCGGTTCAGAAAACACTGCAAAAGACACCGGGTGAGATCAGCTTCAGAATGACCAACATTCTTGTCAACGTTTATTTTATTTTACCTCCTCTTTATGATATTTCTAAATAACTCAAAGTGGTGAACATATCCAACACACCTTCCTTCTGTTTTCCCCACATCAACAACTCTGTGAGGTGGGTTATGCTGAGGGAGAGTGACTGGTCCAAAGGTACATCAGCAAGTTTCGTGTCTTAAGGCAAGAATACCAAGCTGGTGGGATTAGAACTCCTAGTCGCCTGGTTTCTACACAATAGTTCACCTCCTCACCACTTCATTTTACCTATTGAAATTCCACAGATGTTGAAAATGTGTATCAGAAAAGCAACTCAGTTTTCCATCCAGCTATTTTCTGGCTGAGGAGGAAGAACTCCTGGAATACTCAGCCAATACAGAGCACCAATTTTTTGGGGGGTGGGGGTGGGAAACCCTAAATCCGTTCATTATTGGAAGCCTTGTTCCAGATGCAAAATTATTTTCATGAATTTGTAACTGTAAAAGTGTTGGTGTTGGCTTTGGGACTTTCTCCCCAGGGTGATGTAACCATCTCAGGCTTTTCCCAGATCAAGCTGCAGGATAATTACTGCATGTTAGAAGTTGTCTTTTGGCTGGAAATTACCCCAAAATGTGAAAAATTGCAGTCCTCATGACTCCAGACTGATGCAAACGGCCATAAATACAAGCCAGTTGCCAATCACCCAGACTACAATCATATGATTGCAGAGTGGGTGCGGGTGTCAGAACTTCCAAAATGAGTCTAGCAAGTAGTTTGGGGGAGATACATGGAAACTTGGAATGGATACTAAGGGACCGGTTATTAAGTGAGGACTACTGTACAAAGAGACATGATGAATGGTTGGAGGAAGGCAGTTAATAGAACCCAGGAACCAAGAATTTTAGTGTCCCGACATTACATGATGTACATTTACCACCTTGAATTACTTATGAAGTAATAGAGGCAAGATGAAAATCTCATGGTTATTTAAATTTATCCAGAAAGCCAGTTTGATCTAATAGTTAAGGCACCACATTAGAAAACAGGAGATTGTGAGTTATAGTCCCGCCTTAGGCACGAAAGCCATCTCTCTCAGCCCAACCTACATCACCGAAGTTATTGCTGTGGGGAAAAATGGGAGAAAGATGTGTTGGATATGTTCACCATCTTGAGTTATTGGTAAAAATAATAAAGGGGGTGTATATACCATTCCTTAGTGCATCCCAGTCTTGGCAATGTGAAGACTTATGGACTCCAGCTCCCAGAATTCCCCAGCTGGGTTCTATGCAGCCAGCTGGGGAATTCTGGGAGTTGAAGTCCACACATTTTCACGTTGCCAAGATTGGGAAGCCCTGCCCTACATGTTCTTCTCTCCATTTCCTTACAGGCCTCCGCATAGTTGACATCAAGCTGGATTCGCAGACTGTGCTGGTGGAGACAAGTCTTGGAACTGAGGAAGTCCAGAACCTTTTAGAAACGACGGGGCGTAAGGCTGTGCTCAAAGGAATGGGAAGTAATGTTCCAGGTAAATCCCGACATGATCGTCAACACTTCCTTTGGAATCTTCTATTCCAGATTTATTCCTGGAATAAATCAGCAAACTTTTAAATAGCTCTATGATGTACAAGCTTTATTTCCCTCAAGCCATTGGTGTGAAGTGGACGGGAATCCTTGGAAAATTTTTGATGGGTTTAAAGCATTGTGCCTAAAACTGATGGGATCAGCCATAAACCCTTCAGAGTAGATCTGCTACATTATCTGGATCAGTGTTTGTCAAAATTAGTAGCTTGAAGATATGCGGGCTTGAACTTCCAGAATTCTTCAGCCAGCAAGGAACTGGCCAAACAAGCTAACCACAGAACCTCCAAGATTATTCCTACCGACACTGACAGAGGGCAAACTACTAGAATATAAATTGAGAACAAACCCTACTAGCATTGATGATGTTACCTAGTGGGGTAATGAAACATTGCAAGAAAACATCCAAGCTCAGAGAGCACCAAGGACCCTAAAGTCATTGTTGTCCTCCTCCTCCTCCCCCTTCTCCTCCCCATCCCTTTTTCCTCCACTCCACTTCCTTCCAGCACTGATGGCATTGCCAAGTTTGGTAATGAAATGTCTGCAAGGAACCACCAAGTACAGAGGACCCTACAGTCCTCCTTATCTCTTTTTCCTCCACTCCACTTCCTTCCAGCACTGATGACATTGCCTAGTTTGGTAATGAAGATTATTAATTATCAGATTATTTTCTACTACAAACGTCTCTCTTTCGACCTCCCCTTTTTCCCCCCAAGGATTGCTCGGCACTGCTGCCGTGGCCATGGTGTCGGGCCGTGGACTGATCCAAGGGGTCGTGAGGTTCCTGCAAGTCTCGCCTGAAAAGTGCCTTGTGGATGGCACGATCGACGGCCTTCCACCAGGGCTGCACGGGCTTCATGTCCATGAATTTGGAGACCTCAGCCGGACTTTTGACAGGTGAGAGGCTCTAGAAGGTGGTTCTTTTTTTTCCCCAGGGGGTTTCAGGGGTTGTAAAAGTTGGAGAGAACTTTTTTTTTTCTGACTGCCAAATCTCCCACTCTGATTTTATCCTAAACAGTTGTGGAGACCACTTCAACCCCAAAGGGGAATGCCATGGAGGCCCCCAGGATCTGCACAGGGTGAGTTAGGCCACCCATCGCCTTTTATTCTTCTTGGCTTATGTCTCTGTGACCTTGTATGGACTTCCAGGTTGGTGGCATGCCCCAAGTTGTGAGTGCTCCAACACTGGAGGATTTTAAGGAGAGATTGGGCAGCCGTTTGTCTGCGGTGGTACAAGGTTTTTCTGCTTGAGCAGGAGGGGTTGGACTAGAAGACCTCCAAGGTCCCTTCCAACTCTTGTTATTCTGCTATGCTGTTAATTGTAACTGTAAGTTAAGGATTGAATCGTTTTTCAGCATGCAGGTGATCTTGGGAACATCTTGGCCACTGCTGATGGAAGAGCATCCTTTCGGATGGAAGATCACCTGCTGAAGGTAAGTTGCTCCGGGAGCAAAGAAGCCGTCCAGCAAATGGGTTGATGAAAGAACTCACTGGGGCAACTCACCAGGTAGGGCGGGTTTTTAGGAGCTGGATATATATATATGTATATATGGGCAGCTTCCAGCTTGGCCCTTTAGCCCAAGCTGGAAGCTGCCCGTTCTCTGCAACTGGCTGAGCAACTGTAAGTTCTAATCCCAGTTTAGGCATGAAACCTGGATGGGTGACTTTGGGCCAATCACCAGGAGAATATGAGTTCTAGTTCCGCCATAGAATAGGAATAGGGATAGAATTAGAATAAAAATGGAATGGAATGGAATAGAAAATATAGAATACAGAATAGAATAGAATGTAGAATAGAATAGAACATAGTATAGAATGGAGTAGAATAGAATAGAGAATAGAATAGAATAGAATGTAGAATAGAATAGAGAATAGAATATAATAGAGAATAGAACAGAATAGAGAATAGAATAGAGAATAGAATAGAATAGAATAGAATATAGAATAGAATAAAAATAGAAAAGAAAATAAATAGGGTAGGATCCCACAGTGCCTCCCTTAGCCACTTCGCCACTTAATGATGAATCTTTTATCCCTTTTGTGGTCATGAACCGAGGACTTCCCGTACAGATATCCGCTTGACTGTTGTGGAACAAGGTTGGGTCCACTCATGGCATTGTCTTCTTTCCCTCCTTAGGTGGACGATATAATCGGCCGTTCCTTGGTAGTAGACGAAGGGGAGGATGACTTGGGCCGCGGGAATCACCCGCTGTCAAAAATCTCTGGAAATTCTGGGGAGAGGTGAGGAATAACTCTGCCACTTGCCAGCAGTTCAATCCTGACTGACTCAGTCTTTCCATCCTTCTGAGGTCAGTAAAATGAAGACCCAGGTTTTGCGGGGCAAGTTGCCGACTCTGTAAACAGCTTAGAGAGGGCTGGAAAGCACCGTGAAGCGCTATACAATTCTAACTGCTGTTGCTATTCCAACTCTGTTATTCTGTTATTCATTCTAAACCAGCTTTCTGTCTAGATAAAAAGATTCTTTTTGCAAACCAAAAAAAAACAAAAGACTTGACCTCTCTCTCTGTTTTTTATTTTTATTTTGCAGAGTGGCCTGCGGAATCATTGCTCGCTCATCCGGCCTCTTCCAGAATCCCAAGAAAATATGTACCTGCAGCGGAGTGACCCTTTGGGAAGAGCGGGAAAGATCTGCCACCAGGCTAGGCCAGGCCGTTCCCGAACGACCCACTCCTCACCTGTAGGACATGGGTTGCTGCTATTGCTCCCCTCGCGCTGGAGTTTGCAAAGGGGGTTCAGCTATTCTCTTTAGGTGCCTCCCGCAATGACCCCAATAAGGCAGGTGCGGGTGCGGGTGTGTGTTTGTGTGTCTGGAGAGAGACACAAACATACAAATCGGCTTTTGCTAGCAGGAGGAAAAGATCATCGTTGCACTTTGGATAGATTTCCCCCACACACACACAAAACCTCCAAACATTCCAATAAATCACTTTTAGATTTTGTCCCACATACACACACAATTTTTTTAGGTTTAAGTTTGGGGATTTGGGAGTTTTTGCCGCCTTCCTTTTGCATCTTCTTTTTTTTTTTTGCATCTATGCCTTCATTTTAGGATTGTGGGAACAGTGCCTTTCCCCCCCTTCCCTGCGGGGCACAGAAGGAAGAAAATCAACAGATCTGGTCTGCAGCCATAGATGAGGCTTAACGCTGGTGAGATTGCAGTTGATGGTTTAAAAGGGGGAGCCCCTTCCTTTCCCCCCCCCAAAAGGGGAACTTTCTCTGTTAGGTTGGGGCAATGGGGGACAGCATTCTTTGCCCTGCCCTGTTTATCTCAAGAAGAATATATTGAGAGGCATAGGGGTTGCTACAACACCAAAAATTGTTAGTACAGGCAGGCCTCGGCTTACAACAGTTCTTTGAATGACTGAATAGCACTCAAAACAGTGGCTTATGACCATGGCAGCATTTCAACAGTCAGGTGATTAAAATTCGGATTTGCTCGTCAACTGGCTCCTATTTTATGACCGTCGCAGTGTCCCTGGGATCATAGTCAACGAGGAAAGCCAGATCCACTTAACAGCTGTGTCACTCACTTAACAAACTGCAGTGATTCCACAAAACCATCGTGGCAAGAAAGGTCGTTAAAAAAGGAGCAATAATTCACTTCGCAAAGGTCTCGCTTGGCAACAGAAATTTCGGACATGATTGCCTCGTAAGGAAAGGGCCACCTGTATCCCCGTCGGCTTGTCATGAATCAGTCTGGCCTCACCCTTCTTGGGATGTGTGACAGTGCCTTAAGTGTCTAAAAATATTGTTGGTTTGGAAGGGCTCCAAGATCACTTCCAACTTTGTTATTCTGTTAATTGTGGAAAGCGAGGAAAAGCGGGGGAGTGGGACTGATAGTCCTCATTTTACAACCATTCATTCGAAGTTACTTATGACTAAATTGTTCACGCTTAAAGATGGTTGGCGCATCCCCAGGGTCACATGATCAAAATTCAGACACTTGGCTCCTGACTTGTATTTATGACGGTCACAGTGTCCTGGAGGTCACGTGATCCCTTTTTGTGACCTGACCAGGGGACAATCAGATTCACTTAACAACCAGATCACTAAGATCACAAACTGCAGGGAATTCACTTTACCACTGTGGCAAGAGAGGTAAAATGGGGAGAAAAACTTCACTTAACAACTGTCTTGTTTAACACTGGAAATGGGCTCAAATTGCGGTAAGGTGAGGATTACCGGTAGTACAAAATGGTCGTGTATTAGGGCAGGCTTGGGAGTGGATTTTTCCTGTGAGGGTTCTGTCTGGGACAGAGGTGCAATTTGAACTGTGCCTCTTGTTTTGCTGGTTCTTTTTATTTCTTTGACCATCCATTAAATTATATAATCTTCTTAAGCAGCTGCTGTGTTTGTCTCCTCTGATTTAATGCATTGCTGACACAATGTTTTCCCGAAAATAAGACCCTGTCTTATAATTTTTTTTGCCACCAAAAAAGGCATCAGATTGTTGTGGTCAGCCGGCAGCAGGTGTGGACGTCTGAGGAGAGCGAGGACTCAGATGAGGGGCCAGGACCATTAGGGAGTGGACTGCTGCCTTCAGAGATTGTGGGGGCTGGCAGCAGCGATGAGGAGGTTCCCGAGGAGCCTGTGCCAAGTGCACGTGCACGCAGGATTGCTTGTAGGAAAGCAGCTGCAGCAGCACGGGCAACTCGGAAGTAAGGCTGCAAGGTAATGGCCCCTCCTTCAAGAAGATAAAAGCCAGCTGTGAAGCAAGCGGACTTTGCAGGAAGCAAAGACGTTTTGAAACTCCAGCCTCGTGGACATTACAGTATTATAAGTTGGTATTTGAAGACTCTTGTGTTGTGAAATATTTCTTATCTGTTATTCTTGGCAGCCTCGCACAATTTTGGCGAGGCTCGTGCTTATCAAAGTTAATTAGTTTGCAGCAGCCTTTTAATCGGGGATTCGTAAGAACCATTAAAAGTTTTCTGTTCCCTTTGGTTTGTGTTTGTTTTATTGGAAAAGGGTTTGGGTCAGAACATAGGTCTTATTTTGGGGCGGTGTCATCAACTGACTAACTTCACTTACGTGCATCACCCCTTTTTCACTGTCAGAGGCCTTCTTGCGGCCGACAAGGCTTTTCTGAAGGCCTCTGCAGCTGATAAAGAGATCTCTGGATTGATCTGGAGCTCTGTTCTCCAGAGGCCTTCAGGAAAGCCTTGCCAGCCTTGCCGGTTGGGATGTGCGAGGCCTGGCTACAGCTGTCCAAAGGTAAGTAGTAGGGTAGCTCCATGTCCCCATTCTATCTTAACTTTTACCCCAGCACTCTGGAGTGGGTGGGCTTTTTCTGGGAGTAGGGCTTATATTGGGTGCTCGTGTAAAAAAAGCTAGGACTTACTTTCAGGGTAGGTTATATTTTCAGGGAAACAGTAGGTAAGATGGAGACCTCTTTTTTGTGATATCCATTTTGGAAATTCCTAGGTCGATCTAACTATTTTGTGGCTGATTTTTTGAGAGCTAACTCCATGTTTTCAACCAGTCTTTTTTTTTTTTTTTTCAAAACGTGGCAACTTGTAAGAGGCCTGGACTTCCAGAAGTCCTTACATCTTAAAAGTTGCCAAGTTTGAAAAGTACTGCCTTAAACCTTTTTGGATTGGCAACTGTGTAGGGTAAAGCAGAAAGGTTCAGCAAAGGTTCTAGTTATATTGCAACCTATTTATTACAGAACTCTCATAAATGGTAAGGTGCATCAAACTAAGAGGTACTAGTGTCTAATCAAAGGCTGAAATTCGAATTTCTTTTCATTATTTATGTAGCGATCACTCTCCAACCCATAGAAGGTAAAAAGAATCTCAAAAGCCCCACTTACAGATAAAAGCAATGATCTACCCATTTTATATCTATGAAAAGCGGGAGAGCTCTACTGCGTAAGCGCAGTGAGAAAAAGCTCACGGAGGAGGAGGAGGGGGGCGTTTCAGTGCAGGGTTATATAGAGCTATTCAAACAAGAGCGACCCATCTTGATGAAAGGTCCTCATTTTCCCTCATAAGAAACCCTCAATGTGAAACCACACTTCTTTCGGGTTTAGGGCTGCCTGTTTTTCCGCAGCTTCTGTTTGTATGAAAGCACATCATCCTAGTCCGAGAGGTGAGGGTTGGGGGGGTGTCACGGCCCCCTCAAAGTAGCGGGGGCTACTGCGCATGCTCCGGTAATAGCCGTGCCAGAGCGCGAGACGAGATTCGCGCTCGGAGGAGGGAGGCGGCGTGTCGTGACTCCGCGCAGGCGCGTCGACGCGTTCTCCATATTTCTCCTCAGAAAGCGCGTCGCTGTCGCGGGCGCCATTTTGAGTGGCCGCCTCGCCTGTTTTTTTCACCCCCCCCTTCCCCGTTTTCTCCGGTTTCTCCTCGGGGACCGCCGGGCGCGCGATGCAGGCGGGCGTAAAGGTGTTTGTGGGCAACGTTCCGGAGGAGGCTTCGCAGGTGGAGCTGCGCGACCTCTTCGAGGCGGCCGTGCCGGGCGAGGTGCTGAAGGTGGCCCTCATGAAGCAGTTCGCCTTCGTCCACCTGCGCGACGAGGCGGCGGCCGAGCGCGCCATCCAGAAGCTCAACGGCCACCTGCTCCACTGCCACCGGGTCGTCGTCGAGCTCTCCCGCCCGAGGCCCACCCACACCGTCAAGATCTTCGTCGGCAACGTCTCGGCCGCCTGCACCAGCGGCGAGCTCCGCGTCCTCTTCCAGGAGTATGGGCCCGTCGTCGAGTGCGACATCGTGAAAGGTAGCGGGTCTCGAAAGAGGGGAGAAAAAGGGGCCTTTCCGGCCGCGCAGATAGGCTGCTTCTGGACGGGGAGGCTCTGCTCCACGGCGCTCTATTCAGCCGATTGCGGGTAGTTCTCGACTTACGACCGCCAGGCCGCGCGCTGTCTCTCCCTCCCACCCCCACCATTACAAATTTTCTTGGCCATATGCAGCTGTGATGAATTTGGCCCCGTTTTTAGGACCGTTCGTGCCCACGTTTGTTAAGCGAATCCCAGTACAGGTAGTCCTCGACTTATGACCCCCATACGAGGCCATAAACTTCCGTGGTTAAGTGAGACATTTTGTTCTGCCACCGTTTTACCCAAACTTTCTTGTGAAGTGAATCACTACAGTTGTAGTAAATTGTGGGGATGCTGCCAAAGGTCATAACTGAAAAATACAATCCTGGGTCACTTTTTTTTTCCAGTGCGGGTCTAACTTTGAAATGAGTCACTAAAGGGACTGTCGTAAGTCGAGAACTACCTGTAGTTAAGTTAGTCAGGTGTTTGTGAAGTGAATTTGGCTTCCCCATTGATTTTACTTGTTGCAAAAAAGGGGAATCACATGACCCTGGGGACTCTGCAACCGTCATAAGTATGAGCCAGTTGCCAAGCATCTGAATTTTGATCACGTGACCATGGGGAGGATGCAACTGTTACGAGTGGTCGAAAACAGTCGTAAGTCACTTTTTTTCCCACTGCTGCTGTAACCTTTGGTCACTAAACAAAACGGTTGTATGTCGAGGACTACCTGCTGTGGAGGGGGCGGTGTTTAAAGGATCGGACTCCTGGGTGGGTGGGGGGGTTGCTGTCTTAATTCTCATTACTCTGTTTCCCCTTTTCATCTATTCATTAGCTTTTTGCCACAGCTCTGACGCCGACCAAACGCACCGGTGGGTGGCAGTTTGCAAAGACAAGCGACAAGGCCGCCCTTTAATCCTTTGGCTCGGGTGCCGCCACACACGACCGACAGAAAGGGCTTGGGAGGGAGAAGGGGGGCTTTTTTGGGTGGGGCGGTTGGATTGGACCCTGGTTGCCAAGTGGTACCAAGCACGGAGCGCAGTGCTGTGGATGTCTCTCCTTTGGGTTACCTTTGCAGTTGGAAAGAGAGGGCATTTTGGCAAAGAGCGAGCGTGGCTCAGTAGGGACTGATAGGCCCATCTTCTGTCAACTGGTTTCTGTTTTATTCGTGTGAATTCCTTGCTGGGGGTGGTGGTGGGGAAAATACAGCCTCAATGTCTCGGGCAGATTTATTTTATTTGTATCCTGCCTTTATTATTTTGACAAATCACACAAGGCGGCGAACATATCCAAACGCAACTTCTTCCTCCATATTTTCTCCACCACAACAATCCCTGGAAAGTGGATTGGGCTGAGAGAGAGGTACTGGCTCAAAGTCACCCAGCTGGTGGGACTAGAACTCATGGTCTCCTGGTTTCTAGCCTGGTGCTTTAATCATGGTTTGCTTGTCATATAGATGGCTGCAATACCCAGAAGGTTGAGTGGGGGGAAGATAAATCTCTCTGCCCTCACCTCCATCCCTTTGCCTTGGGTAGCATGTCAGCAACATATTAAGAGCAAGAACTTGGTGGTGGTTTGGTGTCTTGATGTTCTTGGAGCTTTGTTCTTTCCCCTTCATCTTGGAGCCAGACAAATATTTATTCCGTCTGATTCTTCCAAAAGTCCCATTGTAGAGGTTGGATATACTACTGTAGCCCATAGGACTTTTTTCAATCTTTTTTTTTTTTGCCACTGTTGTGAATCACTGCAGTTTTTAAGTGAATCACTTGGTTGTTTGAATCAAACCAGAGTTCCCCACTGACTTTGCTTGTCGAAAGCTCACAAATGGCAATCTGGTAACTCCAGGGCACTGCAACCATGTATACATGCTGGCTGCCAAGCACCCAACTTTTGATCACAAGCAAAATTGCATGGGATACAGTGGGCATAAGGGCAAGGATCAGTCACAAGTAACTTTTTTCAGTGCCGTCGTGACTTCAAATGGTTGCTAAACAAAAGGTGGTAAGTCAAAGACTTACAAGAAGTTGAGTGGTTGGAAATATGGGACTAGATATTTTTATATCTGTGGTCAAAAGGAAGACCAAAACTTGCGCCTAGTAAAAATCTTGTTTTTCTGATAGTGCTTTTTTTCCTATTTGCGGTGCAAGTAGTCTGAATGGGAGGTTATGAAAGCATGGATTGATAGTCTATGCTAGTAGTCCTTGATAGAAAACCTCCCTCGTCCCTTCTGACCTTGTGATTTTATGACTTTGTGAACGTGGGACTTGTCTTAACATGTGGCTATTGGATTCCTGTGGCGACAACCTGTAAGTCTAGTGTTATATATCGCTCAGGCAAGTTTTTCCTGGAGGCTGAAAAGTAAGAATAATAAGGAGTCTTCAATTTCCAGGTGAAAGTATTTTATAGCTGAAAATTGATCAAGAAATCTCCACTATTTTTATTTTTTCAACCATGTGGTTAAAGCCCTTTTATCACTTAATGATGAGAACAATCTGTGTCTCCAGTTTCAGGGTTTATTAAAATTTAGTTCTATTTTGTTGGTCTGATTTCTGTCCTATAGTCCTATTTTTTCAAACAGAATGGAAATTTGGAGATAGTTTGCAACATAATCCAACATTGGCATAGTGTGGCTTAGCCCTTATTTCAGCAATTCTCTACAATTAAGTTTAAATTGATTTTCCCTTGTAGAAAAAGAGGGAAATTGTGGGAAATCCAGCATGATTCATCAGTGAGTCAACTCAGGTATAAAATAATTCGGCAAACGTGATGTAGATAAATCCCTATGGAAACAGAAAAAAGACATGTTGGAAAAACTAGTGAACCAACATTTTTATAATAGTTATGGATTAATACAGTCTTAAGTCTTACTGGGGAAAATATTTGTTTCCATAAAAGAGCTGAGAAATATCCTCAAATGACAATATTTATAGTATAAATATAAATGTTAAACTGTTTATTAAATTTAGGTGCTGCCTATCTCTGCAAAGCGACTCTACAGAATTGTAAACTTAAAGGCCATACAATTTGCAGATGTGGTTATGATTTTTTTCTCCAGTAGTAGTTGGTTTGAAAGAGCTGCATATGATTCAAGCACTGAATGAATGTGTGTATTTGTGTGTGTGTGTGTGTGTGTGTGTGTTAAAATGTTCCTTTTGGAGCTTTTCCAAGTCTACAGTACAGATGTAGGACCCAACTTTACAGCACATAGTACTGAACAATGCTCAGAGGCAACTGCCTTTTCAGCTCCAATCAGAAGGTTCTTAGTATTGCAAACGTAAGTTTTATATCCATTGATGGCCATCATGCTATTTTATTCCCCTTTGATATTAAGCAGTTAGTTTTTTAAAAATAAAGTTGCTTGTTACCCAAGAATTATACTCCTTCTATCTTATTTTCCCATAGTTTCTGATTATTGGATAGTTGGGTACATTGTTTAATTTTAAAAAAAATGATCAGAGTTGAAAGCCATCAGTTCCCACTCCTAGTTGGTTTCTGGTTTGCACTAACTTGGAGAAGCAGAAAGACATTTTGATACCTTGTTCCTAAGAATTTTGATAATCTTGAGTCTATATAATCACTAATGTGAATTCAGCAGGGAAAAGTCTTAACGTTTATTCTGCATCTAATGTAAAGTGTAGGAGATGCTTAAATGTGTTCTGTGTTCTTAACCTACATAAACTTTAGTGGGAGATACGCAGTGTAGAAAGATAACCATCATCTCACATAACTTCTGTTGTTACTTGAAATTCATTTTTGTCAAAGCTATGAATTATTTTACTGATTAAAGCCATGTAAAAATATAAATTTACCATAGGCTGTCCAAATTAGGCCGCTGGTTTTACCTTAAAAGATCATTTCATTTTTGAGCCTTTTAAGCACAGTTCTATTTTAAAGGTTTTTTTTTCCTAAAAGACAAAGACCCAACCTAGTATTTAAAAGCTGTTACAGTTACATCGTATTTTGCACATTTTCAGTACATTTACATTCAGTCAAAGTAGCAGCATGGAAATCAAAAGGAACTCCCTCCCAACCCTCCCATTATTCTGTGTTCTGTGTCTTCTCCATTTTTGGCTGGGGATGACCTACTGATAGCATTCCAAGTATTTTATTCAGGATTAATATGGTGGAGCAAAAAGACGAAAACACCATGGAGATAACTATTTTGGAAGAAACCTGTGAGATTCTTTAGCCTCCACTCCCTGTTTAGTGCAGTCACTGATACATAGTCTGTTCAACCTCTGTCTAAAATTTCCAGAAAACAAGAGGTAGCTCCTCACCCGGCAGTCTGTTCTACTTCTAAAAGCTCTCATGGGACATTTTTCCTAGTGTTTGCCCAAGCCCAGTTCTAGTTTTGCTCTCGGGAGTTAAAAATAAAATAAAATTCATTCAGTTCTGTCTTTTGCATGGTGACCTGGGAATTAATCCTTCTTTTCATGAGCCAGCTAAGCAAATCGTTCAGGTGCTAGAGGCATTAGTAGGTAAGAAGGGAACCCTGGTGCTAAGGCAGTAGATGTTCAGTATGAGCCGCAGTGGTGCAGTTGTTACAGTGCAGTACTGTAGTCTACTTCTGCTTCATGCCGGCTGTCTGCAATTTGGCAGTTGAAATCTCACCAAGCTCAAGATTGACTCAGCCTTCCATCCTTCTGAGGTGGGTAAAATGTGGACTCAAATTGTTGGGGGCAATATGCTGACTCTGTAAACCGCTTAGAGCGGGCTGTAAAGCACTGTAAAGCAATATATAAGTGCTATTGCTATCTTGTGCCTTGCTAAGTTCCAGTGGCCTTTTTTTTTTTTTGGTTCCTTTGTAGTGGTTAGAATTGCAAAGCCGCCCTCTATTGGACAGCTATTTGTCCAGGCTGGTATAGTCTGCTTGAACTCCAAAGTCCTGTCCCTTCCCTGGTGGCGCAGTGGTTAGAATGCAATATTGTAGGCTAATTCTGCCGATTGCCAGGAGTTTGAT